AAAAAAGCCGAAATTATATCGAAAAGTGGCACATCTTTAGAGGCTGGAAGCACGGGTGTAAGGTTTGTGACGAATGCAACCATCATTCGCATCTATATTGCAAAACGTGCAAAAAAGTAGCGAATGGAATATATACTGATATAAGCGATGTGAATGTGAAAATTCATTACTGCATTAACGTGTTAGAGTAAATTCCGCATGCGTATAAATTTATCTGTACTATAATACCTTACAAGGCATAACTTATTTGTGAGACGGAGCACAAGCGGAGCTCATGCCTTGGCATAGAAATTGCCATTTTTCTGAAAGTAGTGCGAACTGGGATATTGTAAAATGTAACGGTTTAGTGGAATTTTTTAGAATTTTTAGGGTAGAATTTATTTTATATAAGCCTACGCTCTAACCCTAAAATCTTAAGAAATTCCAAATCCACTTACAACAAATATCGATATCGATATATAGAGAATATTTGATACTACGGAACCATAGTTTTAGGGTCGAAGGCCCGGGATTTTCTTGACTCCAGAATATCAGTTACACGGGCACCAATCAATGAAAGAGTATACATCGATATTATGATTTTGGATCATAAGAATGCATACCGATACATGATAAATTACGTTGCTTACACTGGTGTAAACCTGCACGTTCATGCAAAAATAAGACCCAAGATTTGGGCGAACTTTATTAACTTAATAATAAAGATTATAAAATCCATTGTGATTTCGACGACGGACCATCGCTGAAATTTTGGTCATATGGTTTCGATCATTACAATTCTCTTAATAAAGGGCAAGCATTTAGCTTTTAGCACATATCTCCAATGTTGACTTCATGATTTGTACGATTTGACTGTTTGATCAAAAATCTAAAAAGTAGATTTTATAAGGTTATTTTTTCATATCATAATTGAAGAATCAAAAAATACTCCCTGCAGAAACAGAAGACATTAGCGTCATAAAAATTTTGACACATGTCTGTAGATTATTTTACTACAGCCATAAGGGTATGTTGAGTATATTATAAAGTCAATGAACACGGCCAGTGTTGAAGCGTATCCATCTGGTCGACCGCAATCATTCGCAGACAGGCTCCCGTATGTTGGTAATAACGCCTCGCTTATCCAGATGAATAACCTCAGTTTTTTCCCGACCTTCAACTTAATACCTAGCAGACGCTTGCGCAGGGGTTGTGATTTTCATATTGATATGAAAACATCCGCAGAATACAAGCGAGTAACCTCAGTTTTTTCTGCTCGAGTAAACCAGTCCGTGCCGTGTTTTAGGCAAAATAGATGAGCAATCAAAATAAAATTGATCACACGTGATTCTTGTAACAAATATAATGACTCAACACAATTTCAAAATCTTTATCGAAAAATGACCCATAGTAAAACGCGTCGAGAGGAGCAAAGAAGTTATTTGTTGAATCACGCAGATCCTCGTCCGTTGAACTTTTTTTCGAGGTTCAAATATCGTAGTAGTTCAAAGGCTCGTCACGAGTACGGATTGAGGCTAAACCAGGCTTTGCAAGAAGCGCCAGATTCTAGGAAGTTATTAAATCTGAGAGGAAAATGGGATAATGACGAATATAGGGATGATTGGGCACGTTATGAAGATTTGCTAGAAGATAGAAAAACCGATGTACGTAGTTTTTTTTTTTACTTGAGCTGATTAAACTGTTATAAAAGCAAAAATCTTTGAATATTAGCGGAAAGTAAAAAAACGAAAACG